AAATTAAAGCTCAAAGCTTTCTCTTTAAAATGATGTATAATAATTGTTGGGTTGGATTGGAAAAATATTAAGAAAAAAAATGTTGAAACAACACTTACATTTAAAAGAGTCAAAAAAGATGCTAATTTAAAAATTCTTAGAAACCATGTTTATTGAAGTTAAGGAATGAGACTTATTTTAAATTTAAGCTCAATGTTTTCTTTTTTAAAATGATCTGTAATAATCACACCTAATAACCATTAAATTTATCAAAGAAATACCTTCTTGAACAACAAAATTCACTAAACTTCTAACCTCACATCTGGATGAATAAGTTTAAAGTGTACCTAAAAATCCTACAGTGCGGATTGCGACGTTTTTTATACAGATTATTTCTTGTATACACTTGTATAGTAGAAAGTACAGACAGTTCTAAATGCGCCGAATAGATAACTACAGTTTAAAATGAGTGTTTAAAATTACCGGTACTTTAAAGTACCGTCGGGACACAAAGGGTTAAACAATAATTATGGAGAATTCGATTTTGAATGAATAATCTTAATAAAAGAAATTGATTATTGCTAGAAAGTGATGATATCCCCATATTCGAATGATACCAAAAATACGTATAAACGTTTTATCACGTTTTGAAAAATAACTTTAAGTTTTGGTTCACATTTTATTTTATTCAACTCTAAAATAAATATAATTTTCTCTCATTTTATATAAATCCATTATCGTTCAATGATAAATCTTTTATAAATCTTCCGAGGAGTTCATAATGTTCAATACGTGAGAGCGCTTCAAGATATTTCTATTAGAAAAAAATGTAAAGAGGTTGGTTGTGAAGAGTGGCTGTGTGTGTGTGAGTGTGGGAAGTCGGTTCTTGGGATCCGGACTCTGAAGAGGTCTCCGGAGTGCTATTGATTTATCAACCGGAGGACGGTCTTTTACTCATTTTAATTGCTTTTCAATTTGCCATAAGCCGCCTCCTTCTCGTTCCTTCTTGTTCTTATTTTTCATCGGTGTTTTCTCTTTTCTTGGGACCTACATGAAGCTGAGTACTTGTTTTATTCCAAGATCTTTTTGCTAGGAGGATGCTATAAAAACAAGAATGTTAATGGAATTATAGTTATTTAATTAAAATTGAAAATTTGATGTGGTGTTATTAAAAAAAATAAAAATTTGTTTTCTTGAAGGTTCCTAAAGCTGATAAAAGATCTAGATCAATATAGGCAAAGTTAACTTTCCTCAATTGATTTCAAGGCGATTTTATGTTTATGTAAGGTCGACTAATGAATATTTATGGATACTGTTTGAATAATTCAACTTCAACACGCATACATCTCGTGTCGATAACGTTTTAACTTCTAACGGGGCAATTAAATACGACAACAGACATAACAAGATTTTAGATAACTACGTGAAATATGCAATGTTAAGGTTTTAAAAAAATTGGGTTAGGTAATGATTCGGTTTTTTTAAACCGTTAGATTTTAACCGCAGTCTTTGATAAGTACAAAATTCCTAGAGATGGTATCTTGTGGAAGTGGAGGTGTTGGATATAGCCTCAAGTATATCGCCTTAATTATTCTTACTGCGGACCTCCATTCGTTGCGATCAAGATAACCTTGCAATGGCATACAGGGTGATACCACAGCTCCAGTACCTATATCTTAAAGAGGCAAAGAGACGGTCGTTTACATTCCTACAAAGTCAACGAACGAATTCCATCCCTTTTAAGACGTTAGACAAGCTAAATAACAGCGATACAAAAGATTTTCTTAAAAAAAATTACTAAGTATATAAAAAAATGAAATCAATCAAAATAGCTGGATTATCGTCACTTTAACTTAACAGATTCAAAAAACATGTTAGTTAAATGGTTTTAAACGCCTAAAAACCACGCAACCAATTATACACAAATTAAAAGTATTAAAATTAATAGCTTATTGTGTTTTTATTAAAAAATCCTGCTTGAATTTATTTATAATTATGATTTTCGTGCATTTTATCATTTTATTTTTATTAAGTGGTTGTGCATCAAGTAACAGTTACGGTGAAATTGCTAAAAAAAGTATCTTCTTTATGAAATCATAAAATATTCTGCAACAGTTCCTTACTTTTTAGAATGTAAAGAATATGGAAAAGCTGTTTATGTAAAAACTATCGGTTTAGATGATAAAGAACATGAAATTTCCGAATGCGGAATAACTTCGGTTCCTTTAATAGTTGGTGGAGAAGAAGCGAAAGAAAAGGAATTTCCTCACATGGCATTAATTGGCTTTGGATTAAAACCGGATGAGGATATTAATTGGAACTGTGGGGGATCTCTTATTAGCGAAAATTTCGTTTTAACAGCTGCGCATTGTTTATCAAGCCAAGAATAGTACAGAGATTAAAATTTTTGATTAAAAATAGTTACTTATTTAATTTTTAGCGGTGAAGCTCAAAAAGTTCGATTTGGAATATTAAAATCGAACGAAATCGATGATGAAACATTCCAAGAATTTAAAATAATCGAAAGAATAAAGCACGCAAATTACACGCGACCAGCAAAATACAACGATATAGCTTTATTAAAATTAGATGGAAATGTTAATTTTACACCATACGTTAGACCAGCTTGTATAAATATTGATTTTAATATAAAATCAATTAATACAGCTACAGCAATTGGATTCGGAAAATTAACTTATAGCAGTTCAAAAGGAAGCAATTATTTAATGAAAGTTGATTTACCAATTATCAATGAAATTAAATGCAAAGAATATTTTCCTTCCGATAGAAACATGCCAAAAGGAGTTATTAAGGAGACTTTATGTGCTGGGGAAATGAAGGGAGGGAAAGATACGTGTCAAGGAGATTCTGGGGGATCTTTAAATACCGTTTTAGAAGAACCATACTGTATGTATAGCATTTTGGGTGTGGTTTCTTTTGGGAGATTTTGTGGATATGCTAATTCACCATCAATTTATTCGAATGTTGTTCATTACGTTCCATGGATTGAAAATATCGTTTGGGGAGATAAATAAAATAAATCTAACCTTTTTATTTAAAAATAAAAATTAGTTAGTTTAAATTTAGCAACGCATAATCGATTGACGTCAATCAAACTTTAAGATTTGTTGAATTGCCAAAATAAAATTTTGAATGTAAAAATAATTACTTTTATATTTTCTGAAAGAAACTTTAGTTTGGTGCATAAAGTTAAAGTTTTAATTTAGTGTAAAAGCTGTTCTATAGTTTTCAAAATAAAATTAATCTTAATATTATTATCAGATATACACGAGTGTAAATTTAGTTGCATAACTTAAAAAAAATTTTAAAAATAATATATCTAACATTTTTTTAAAGCTATTTCTTTATGATAATTTCCTTATGACTTAAAATCAATATAATCAATCAATAAATAATAAAATTATAAGTATTTTTTTAGCCATGACATTAAACCTTATCTAAAAAGGAAATTGTTATTTCCTTTAAAGTTTACTATTTATAAAGCTGTTTTATTGGATTATTTTTTTTTACCTGATTCATTTTAGGCTGATAATAATATGTAATATTCAATAATTTGATGAGGAATCTTGTGAATTTTTCTAAAAAGATATTAATATAATTATATATAAAATTCTAAAAGATATTTTGTTATAAGACAATAAATTTTTCACAAATTACTTTTTATAATTAATTTACATCAAGTTTTGAAATTTCATTACCTAAGGTTACAGTTTTCTAGCAACGGGATTCCCAATTTTTAAATAAACCAAGTCGATTTCGTTGACATCACAGAAGAGAATCAGCCAATCACGACCCAAGTTTGTTTTAATGCTGCTCAATCAGCGTGTCTTTCATTATACGTTGACCTTCTTCGCTATCGAATACGCTTCTCAAAAACAGAAAATTATTTACTCGTTCAATGGCTAAATTCATGTGTTTACACGTTACATTAGTTTTAATTATATTTTTGCTGTTACAATCATATTCAACATTATTCGAAGGTAAATAACTTATTTTTAATTTTTGATTCAATTTAAATTATTATAGGTGAATTTTGTCTTCTTCAAAACAATAAAACCGGATTTTGCAAAAGCGTTCATGATTGTCAAAGTGCAAAAGATAGCTTACAATCAAAAGATCATCCTAGATTGTGTGGTTTTAATAATAACACACCAATTGTTTGCTGTGATTTTCCTAAAAATTCTACCTTACCGGATACGAAACCGGTTCAAACAAGTACTGAAAAGAACCAAGTCGGAAATGAAACCAGGTTATCGACCGGCCAAAAAAGTATAGTAAACAAATCTATTTCTACAATTTTATAATTTTGATATTTATTGTTAAAGAGTGCCAATTATTTGCGAATTACGTTTATAAAAATGAAACTTCGCCCGCTTTAATACCAGGAATTCAATATGTTATAATTAATGGTTGCATGGTGAAAGAAAATTTCGTTCCTGGATTGGTAGAACCAGGGGAATTCCCTCATTTAGTTTCTATTGGTTATTCTGACACAACAAACCCTATTTATAAATGTACAGGCGCCTTAATTAGTGGAAATTACGTTTTAACAACTGCATCATGTACTTCAACAAATTAGTAACAATTAGTTGATTTAATTTAATTAATTCAACTTCCTCTTTTAACTTTTCAGTGGATTTCCTGTAATAGTTCGTTTAGGTACCACCATAAAACAAGAAAATTACTATCAAGTTCCAGAAATACAACACATAAAGGTTGAGGAATTTGTTAAACATCCAAATTATGCTTCAAAAACAAGATTAAATGACATAGCATTAATAAAATTAGCTGAACCAGTTATTATTAATGCTTTGGCAAGACCCGCTTGTTTGCCAGAAAAGAAAGATCAATTAAAAGAAGTTATTGCGGTCGGTTATGGGAGTTTGGGAAACTTTGGAAGATTTAGGAAAGACGTCGAAGAAGACATCTTAAAATTAACTGCTAGCAAAATATGTCCGAGGAGAACATCTAGGATAGATAACGGTTTAAATTGGTGTGGAGAGTTTGAAAATAAAAGTAGAAATAATCAATGTGTTGTAAGTAAATTGACCTATAAAGAAACTACATTTATTTATTTTTCTTTTTAGCTGGATGAAGGTGCTCCTTTACAAATCATAAATAAATCACCTTATTGTACTTTTTCGATTATCGGGTTGATTTCTTCTTGGGATAATTGTGATCCCACAAAACCTATGGTTATAACAGATGTTTCTAAACATGTTGAATGGATAGAAAATAATATTTGGTATTAATTTAATCTTTTATGAAATTTTATGTTCTATAATATATAATTATAGAACATCATAATTATAACATATTTATTTTATGTTCAAATTTTAAATAATTAAATGAAGTTGTATTTTTATTTTGAAAAAGAACTTGAATTTTGACTTTTAAACATCCTCATTTGGTTTAATTGAATATTAGAGAAGATATGTAGTATGACGCACACCAGTGTCATTTATTTATTAGGTCTAGTGATAGTTCTAACCGTCAAATATTTAAAATTAAAAATAATTTTGCATTTTCTCTTAATTTTGCAGTTCTTAACGAAGTTCTCGTTTTTAATCTCGTTTAAACTCTCTTGACATAAAACATTTACGCTAAAAACGTGATGTCATAATTGACATTTCAAACTTAGGTTAACTAAGTACAAAACTGCACAACATCAATCGAATAATTCATGTTTTGAAACGTCAAATAAAAAAATTGAGGTTAAATTTGACATTTAAACGTCAAATATTTAAAATTAAAAATAATTTTGAATTTTCTTTTGAAAGCATTTTCATAACGAAGATTTCGTTTTTAATTTCGTTTAAACTGTCTTCACATAAAACATTTACGAAAGTGGAAATGCCCGATTCGAAATCTCTTTCGAATTTCGAAGGTACACGAAAATAACACAAAAACAACATTCTTTAAGTAGTCATAACTCGTAAACGATGTACTCGATTATCAAGATCAATACGTCATTCGATTCGTCATAGTTTCTTCTATTGAAATCGGAAAAAGCCCGATCTCGATTCTTCCCCGTTAACTTTGTACAGCCCTAAATGGCTAAATGCAGGATTTTTGAGTTTCAGATCATTTCAAGGATAGATATTGTGTCAACCAGTAACTTAGACAATCCACGCATCAACTTGGTTGAGGGACAATGTAACGATTATTTTTTATAAACAATGCTATTTAAATAAGTAAATATATCATGAAAACATATGCAAAAGATTAAATTGAAATACCACATAATTTGACAGCAATAAATTCCCAAAGAAATCATTTTATTTGATACAAAAAAGAGACTCCCCCCTTAAAACGCTTGAATTAGATTATACTAGTATTATTTGGAGTGGTTTACACTCAATTTTGTAAATGGTACGGTTTTTCAAGCACAAATCCAATGAGTAGCGTTCAAACGAATTTTCCCGATATGTTTTGGTCAATTAATAAAATTAAAAACGACTCACCGAATGGATGTTGTTTCCCTTGGATTTTACTTCGAAGCTCAGCTGGAAAGAAAAGATACATTAATTTATTGTGACAAAAAAAATGAATTAATACGATACCTTTTAACATCCATAAAATAGCAATCCGATGATCTCAACATCACTAATTTCACTTAACACTTAGAATAAATATAGCACGTATTTATCACTTAATTCAAGTAATAAGTTTTATTTTTTTAAACTACTTTATCACCCTTAAATGCCCGCATATCAACTAAAATGCGTTATTAGGGAATCAACTTTCAAACATCCCCTCCTTAATTTATTGTGTGAAGAAGGAATAGTGGAGGTGAATAAATAAAAAGTGTAAAGACGACGGGGAGAAGCGGTTTTAAATCGTTTTTTGGTTTTAAAACTCAACCTTTCAATAAAAAAGTTATTCGTTTTCTCGAAACATTTCAAATAAAACTTACGTCATTTTACTAAAATAAAACGCATTAGTCGAATTTCAATGTTTAACGATGCATCATCCCTTATTTTTTGTGTCATGAAATATAAATTTTAAAAAATCGTATCTTAAGAACGAATTGATGAAATAAAGAACATTTAAAGTTTTAGTTCAGACAAGAAAAAAGACATGTAGAAGTGGAAGTAGCGCCATCTAACAATGAGAAGAGAGCAACATAGAAAAAGGAGTTAAGGTTATATAAAAGAAAGTAGTCATTACGTATATTTAATAAATTTGTTATATTAAATGATGAACTTAATCAAAGATATTTAAAATATATATTAATAAAACAAAATGAAAAATAAATCTAATCTTTAAATTCTATCTGAATCTATACAGTTGGTACTTTGAAAATTTTAAATTATCTGTCAACTTGTTGTGTTAACGGCTCATTTATTGAATATAAAAAAATAAAAGTTATATTTTACAAAGAATGAGTTTTGTAAGAGAAGTGCTATCTGCTGCGAATAAAATGGACGTAGATGCGATAATTAAAAAGACCCCCGATTTAGAACGTAGTGTGGAAAAAATTAAAAAAGAATTTTTAGATTATTTGAACCATGTTTTTGTGCAATACACGTTTCCTGCGGGACATGGGCAAAATTTTAAGAAGAAAATTACATCAGCAGCGGCTACTTTATCTGAGTTGGAGAAGTCTATAACTGATGTAACAAAACAAGGGATACAAACAGTTGAAATTAATGTGGTGAATTACAAGAAAACGTTGGTTAAAATTAAAGAAGAAATCGATATATTAAACCATTTAATTAGCATTGATGAGTTGCTTTTAGAGGTGGATAATTTATTTGAGAATCAAAAGTATTTGGATGTTATTAAATTGATGAAGAAGATTGAGAAAGAGATGGATGTTTTAAGATCGATTGAAAATTTAAACATTCTAGATAACATTCAAAGAGATATCAATTTAAAATTAACACTTTTGTTTTCAACAATGAATGAGGATATTTGTAAAACAATTAAGTATAAAAGTGAGAAGAAAATTGTTTCATTTACAATTATTAATGGTAATTTATTAAAAGAATTATTGTTGGCGTATGCCGAAAATGATGATCACATCCAAATATTAAGTGATATCGCCAGATTTTTATGGAAATCGATTCTTTGTTCCATAATTAATTGTTCTGTTAAGATCAAAACATCAACTGATACTATAAAATCATTACAGTTAGAAGTTTTAAACAAAACTAAAAGCCCCTTTAAAGTTGTATTTGAAAATTTAAAAATTGTAATTGATTTTTTAGATAAATACTTTAAGTTTCCCTTAAAAATTGGTTCAACATTACAATATATAGGTAATGACATTAAAGATAATTTATCAGAATTAATTATAAAAAATTGTTTAAATGATACAATTCCAAATACATCCGATGAATTCCAAAATTATCACTTAATAATAGAAGAAGTTAAAGAACTTGAAAAGATTTTAATAGAAAGCGGATTATTTTCCAATGACATGCACTATTTATCCAGTCATGTTAAAAATGTTGATAACCTTTATGTTCAAAAGATATGTGAATCAAAGTTGAGAATAGCAAAAGAACTAATGAAGAAAGATCTTCATGATATGATTGAAGTTGGTGAACCCGTTGATTTAAATAATCCATTTAAAATTGACCTTGATGTGTTTTATCAAAGATCGGTTTCTAAGTGTTGTATAGATTTAGTAAATTTTACTGAAAATATATTCAAACAAATCGTGAATAATGATTATAACACAGCAAAAGCATTATATGAAACTGTAACAAATATTTTTGGCATCTACGGTGATACTGTTTCAAACCATCACAAAAAACTCTTAGAAACAATACCCCAACAAGTTGCCTTATTTCTAAATAATTGCAATTATATTTCTTATAAAATAATGAAATTCGAAGAAATTTACGGAAATAAGATGAAATCAATTTTAAATATTGAAGATTTATTTTCATTTGAAATATACAGTTTGAGATCAAAAGGAGATCAAATGTTTAATGAATTTATCAATCAACAAATTAATGAAATGGAGCAAATTATGAATGAATCTGGATTAGTTAATGTTACTACTTTAGAAAAACTAGAACCAGTTACTGAAAAATCAATACAACACTGTTTAAGGCAACAAGAATTATTAAGAACCGCATGGAATAAAGTTTTATCTCATACAGATTATAACAAAAATCTTGGCAAAACCCTCAACTTTTTATGCAAAACTATAATTGATGCAGTTTTAAAATACACAGATATTAACTCAGATGCAAAAGATCAATTAGTTGATGTCTTAAAAGTTATTTTTACAAGAGGACCTAAATTATTTGCTCATCAAACAGACGTTTCTGTACACGTTGATCAATGGCATAAATTAAATGAATTGTCGTTTTTATTAAGTGCGAATTTATTAGAAATATCAGATCGTTGGGCGGATGGAAAAGGACCTTTAGCCTTGCATTTTAAGGGAGAGGAGTTGAAGAATTTAATTCGAGCTTTGTATCAAAATTCGGATATAAGAGCTGCTGTACTATCTAAAATACAATAAATATTTTTTTCGAAAACTGCTATTAAAAGTCGATTAAAAGTTTGCACGAATTCAAGTTGAAAAACGAGTGGCGAAGCCACGAGTTTTTTAATGAATGAGTGCTTTAAGTCTTATGAAACGTGTTTTTTATGCCATTTTTTGTAATTCTCCTTTCTATCCGTTTTTTTCTCAAATATAAAATAAATTTTGACAAAGTAGGAAAATAGGTATGTAGCAGTTGGTAACACCGTAACACTTGAAAATAGAAATTTGCATTGACAATTAGAAACTGTCAAAACACAAAATGTATTCACCTGACAAACATGTTTCATGTACACCTCCCAAAATAAGAGAAATTGCTCAGAGTTCATCATTGTGGACCTTGTATTCGATGCTAAGAACGTATTTAAACATCCATGGACAAACATTGTCATATTGACAACTAGAAAAATTAATGACCCAATGTCACCAACATGAACTGGTTCCATAAAATGTTACTAAAATCTCATTACAGCATCGGATGCTGTAATGATGTACGGATAAATCAAATTAAATTATTAAGATCGTATTTTTTCATGATGTATTAGTTTGAGGGCGTTTAATATTTGAATTAGATTAATTTTTGATTTAATTATAAAATGTCAAAATTTAGCTTTATTGATTTAATTTATTATTTAATAATGATTTACATTAATCAAAGAGTAATTTAGGAAGGATTTTCCGAAAAAGAAAATCCTGTTTACTCACTAATCAATTAAACAACTTTTATTTTGAAGAAAAAGTAGCCAATGGGACAAAAAGTCACGAAAGTCCTTGGCATTAAATTGAGTGAACATCGTTGGTATCTCTTCATTCGTATGGGTTCAGTGCGTTCGTAAGAATCATACAGTTTAAATGTTAAAGATGAACAAATCTTCGCTTTGTGGTTTTTTATTATTCATCGCGTTTACTTTAACTCAAGGTAACAAATAATTTTAAAAGATTCAAGTTAGAAGAAGTATTTTATTTTCTTTACAAATATAAAAGAAAAACCTAATTTTAACAATTTGTATAAAATTAAAGATTATGTTTTTCGATTATAACACATTTAAGTAAAGGTCACAAAATCAATTTTGGTGTGGTGCATCTACAATTTTGGAAAAGAAACCTGTTTTACAACAATCAAAAACATTTAAAAAGTGATTGTCCTTCACTTTTACTTACGAAAAACGAAAAAATCGTTTCATAACGATTGTCAATGAATTAATTAGCTTAAATTAATGTTAAAGGTTTGCCAAAAAAAATCTTCTTTTGAATTGACGTAACCAACAATCAATAACTTGAATAACTTTCACTTTTGAAGTGAAGAAATCTTAAAATTAACTTTAGTATTTGTTGAATACTATTATCTTTTAACGAGATAAAAAGGGAAAGTTTATTTTAATAATTAAATTTTTATTTGAGGTCAAAGGTTTGCTACTTTTAATAGCAGAAATAGTCAATCTTTTCCTAATTCTCAACAATTTCAACAACAACAGCAAGGAAGTTTTCCGTGTCCAGAAAAAACGGGAAGATTTCCTACTGCACAATGTGATAGGTTAGTTAAATTATCTTATATAAATTTCGCTTTATTTAAATTTTTTGATTTTTAGCTACATTGAATGTATTGATGGTGTTGGAGAAGAAAAATTTTGTCCGGACGGTCTCCTTTTTAACGCTTTAACGAATCCTTTGGCTTTTCCTTGTCAATATCCCATCGATGTTGATTGCGTTGGACGAACAACAACACAACCAGCTCAACCAACTGAAGATTGTCCTCATCAATACGGTTATTATAAAATCGGTGACGAAGCAAATTGCGGCCAATTCAAAAATTGCGTCGAAGGAAGAGCTTTTACTTTCGATTGTCCGGAAGGGTTGGCTTTTAACGAAGAAAGTTATAGATGTGATTGGCCCGATCAAGTTCAATCTTGTAATGCTGAAGGTTTGATAACTTTATAAATAATTATTTAAGAGTAGGCAACCAATATTACACTCGTGCTAATTTGGTTGCGCAACAATTAAAATTTAAAAATTACTTTTTAAATTATATTTTTTTAGCCTTCTTAGGATTTACTTGCCCCCCAGAAGCAAAAACATTCGCCCCATCTGAATACAAATATTTCCGATCGCCCAATGATTGTCAACGTTATTTTATTTGCATCGAAAACAAACCAAGATTATACAATTGCGGGGAAGGACAAGCTTTTAACGATTTAACGAATAGTTGTGATGGTATTGAAAATGTTACTGGTTGTTTGCCACAATATAATCAAAATTATGATCAATCCAGAAGAAATTTTAGAGTGTAATTATATTTTTGTTGTAATTTTGAAAACTTATAATGATATTTTTATTATAATAAAAGGTTTTTAAATTTAATAAGCATTTTTAATTAAAATAAAACAAAATTTAATTAATATTTATTTATTTTTAAAAATATTTAAATCTAAAAACTAGCGTAATCTATCATTGACGTCAAATAACACATAAAAAACAGAATCCTGTAATTTTAATTATGTTACAAACAAAACTTTTTAGGTTATGTTTACTCAAAACATTCTTTTTTAAAACAGTTTTTAATCCAATCTTTTCAAAGAAAACAGAATGCAACAATTAATTCGGTGGTTTTCTTTAAAAATTAAATGTGTGAACGAAAAATTAAATCGTGTGTTCATCCCAACGAACGTGTACGGTGGGCGATTTTCAAAAAACCCGCCAAACAAAACGAGCAGATGCCGATGAGGCGGCGTCCGAAGGGGGCCAGGCGCAAGTCTGGCGACAACCACGTTCAGTTTCCGCGATCGAGCCAACCGACAATACCTCCGCCGGTAAAAAACGGTTAACGGCGCCAGGAAACCGAAAACAACACGAATCTTTGACGTTTTTATTAAAACAGCGAGGCGATATTTGGCCCCCTTTTTTGATTACGATTGCGTTCCTAATTTTTTTTAGTGCGTGCGTGTACCCGGAGTGAAAAAAATATGGGCACGGTCGACGATTGGAGAGGTTACGCAACGATTTGTCGTCTGTGCTTACAACGAGATGGTTTTATGCTCGGAATTTTCAATCATATACAAGGAAAAGAAAAAAGTATTTATAAAAAAATTATGGATTGTACAGCTTTAGAGGTAACTCGAATTTTTTTATTCATTTAACGTAAATTTGTATTTTTTAATTATAATTAATCGATTTGAGGTTAATTTAAACGCTTTTTTTATGATTTTAATTCATAATTTAAAGTTATATTTACCTTAATCACCCTGTATAACTTGGTTATTTCCGGTTCTGTAACACTTCACTTTCTTTCCACCATGTTTGTTGATTTTTGTTTGTATTGAACACGATGGCAACGACATTTTAGTTGGTTAAAAGAATATTTTCTTTTATTATAAAATACACGTTTTCGCCCTTTTTTAAAACTAAATTTATTTCCCAACACTCATTTAAACGTAAATATAAACACTTGTTTGTTTATTGATTATTCTTAAACTGGTTTGTTGTTAGAAAATTGGCAACTTCGTGTTTATTGATTCGTTGTCATGGTAACAAAATTATTTGAATTCAAAAATTAAATCTTCCTCAAACTGTGATGTAATGTTGAAATTGCTGTTTTGATAAATGTAAGTTGATCGTTTCCGAGTTGTAATATTTTACCGTACTTTTCTCGTTTTCAGCGTAATTTGAATTCAAACAAATCAAATGTCAAATTAAAATATGACATTTCAATTCGTTACCATGACAACCGATGTAACCTAGAAAAGCTTCCAGAATAATTTAAAGTTATATTTATATTCTTGTAGATATCGTTTGGAGATGGTTTACCAACAAGCATTTGCCACCGTTGCCTTTATAAAATAGAATTTTGCCTGGATTTCCGGCAACAATGTTTCGTATCAGATGCAACACTTCGTCAAATAAACGGTTTGAATTCAAAGCACCTGGAGAATGCGACAACCGGAGCTGGTTATATGATGGCAGAGATCCCACCAGGAAATGAGGACGACGTTGTGATGGTCGTCGACCCACACGCCCTAGATTACGATTCCGAATATGATACAGACAACAATGATGTTGTTGAGAATGTTGAAAACGTTGAAAATGGGTTAGAAGTAAACGATTTGCAAGAATTTAGAAACGTTTTTTTATGTAAATATTGTGATAGGGCATTTACTGAAAAATCAGAGTGTAATTTGCATGAAAACTCAGAACATAACGTAAATGTTCCATATGATTGTGCGGTTTGTGACATGACTTTCGCTGATAGGATTAATTATTCGGCACATTTAAAAAGTGTTCATCAAAACGACAAACCCTACAATTGCCCGCAATGTGAAAGAAATTTCTCAAGAAGATCAGATTTAAGAAAACACACCGTTGTCCACACAGGAATAAAACCATTCACCTGTTCAATTTGTTATAAATCATTTTCAAGAAACACAAATTTATCGAAACACATGAGGATCCACTCCGGACAGAAACCTTTTGTATGTCAAAAGTGTCCGAAAACTTTCATATCGAAAGGAGATCTCACAAGACATACCATAATTCATTCAGGACAGAAACCATTTTCATGTAATTATTGTAATTTAAGTTTCGGGCGTAGAGATAAATTACTTCGACACGAAAAAAAACATTATAACCAAGAATCAAAAGAGAATTCTGAAGATTTTTGTAATTTAAACTTAACGAATTTTGACGCATTAGAAAATTCACAAACTATAAACGAAGAAAACGAAGAAAAATCTGAATGGCCAAGCTCTGAAAACATGGTAATTAATCTCGACCCATTCAATAATTACCACAACACATCAGGAACCCCACCTCATCATCAACCCGAAATCAATTCCAACATAAATTTAAACTTACCGTTCAACGATGATTTTCCACAAACGCAAATTGAAAATTCACATGAAAGTTTTTCAATTTTAGATGGAGAAAATAGAGATCTCCCGCAAATTCCGGAACACATAACCGGAGATAGTTTTACAAATAGTCCACCAAATACAAATTCGTTTGATGATACCGAAAAAGTGAAACGGTTTCCTTGTTATACATGTCATAAACGTTTCTCCAGTTTCGAGGGATTAAAAATTCATATGCAAATGCATTCCGGAAATAGACCCCATCATTGTAATATTTGTAATAAATCTTTTATGAGAAAACGCGAACTTGATAGGCATATTGCCACTCACACGGGCATGAAACCTTTCAAATGTACGAGTTGTGATAAAAGGTTTGGAAGAAAGGATAAGTTAATTAGGCATATGAGGATACACGAGGTGAATCGGGAACATATTTGTGTGATTTGTGGGGCGACTTTTAATCGTAAGGATGGGTTAACTCATCATATGAAGACTCATGTTAAAGATGAGAGCGAAATTTTGACCAATAATATTTAAAAGAATTCAAAATTGATGTGAAATTTGGTTTTTTAAGGTTAAGTTTTTTTTTAGGTTAGATTTTTTTTGATAACTATTTTTTGAAATGATTAATATTTATATTAATAATCAAATAGTGAATGTATAATGTTTTTAATTCATTTATAATATTTTCAATAAAAAAAAACAGTTAAATAAAGAATTATAGTTTGTACAAAAATTTTTAATTTAACCTCTAAATACACATTTAATTGATTTTTGAGCCATTTTATTTAGGTTATGTTTGTTTTTGAGGTTAGAATTATTGACATTTTTTTGTAATCTTTAATTAACAACAAATTCCTGTAAAAAATTAGCTTTAATGCTTTAAAAAATTTACCTTACAGGTGAAAAAAATGTAAAAATATTTTACATCAAATATAAACGATAATTTATTTTACAAATATGCATAAAAAGTTGCCTATCTATATAAATATATTAAAATTAATTTAAATATTTTTTGGAGCTGGTTTCCTTGTTATACCTGTTATAAACATGTATTAATTTATAGTTTCGTGTCGCTTTTTAATATGATTTATTAATACATATCTATGATAAGCCTTAAAATCACAGAAATCACACTCATATCTTGGTTTTTTGTTTTCGTTTGGATTATCTGCAACTTCATTTTTAAATAACAATAAAAATATGCCTTTTATGTTTTATTTACCTATATTTTCTGTTTGAGAGGACTTTGAAGTAGAAATATTTAAAGTTGGCTTCGAGCAGCAAAATAATTTCCCGGTTGAATCTATAAAGAAACCTTCTAATTTTCCTAAACATACTGGATGATAGATTAAATCACAATCGTAGCAAATTACGTATGTTTTAACTTGTTTTAAACATGCATTACACATTTTAATTGATTCTCGAACCATTTTACTTAGGTTATGTTTGTTTTTGAGGTTAGAATTATTAATATTAATTTTTTTTAAAATCTTTTGTGTCTTGTTGATATTAATTAATTAACAACAAATTCTTGTAAGAAGTTGTTGCTTTACTAATACTATAAAGAAATTTTACCTTTTATAAAGAAAATAAATTTTAATATGATAAATGATAACCAACTTAACAAATGTGTGGAAAATGTTGCCTATATATCAAAAAATTTTTTTTAATTCTTTTTATATCTTAAATGTTAAATCTTTTAATACTTGTTAATTGATTAATTTTTTTGTCGTTTTTATTTAAGTGTTTACTTAGAGTTGGATTTTCGGTTGAATGAAACATTGCGGTACATTGCGGATCGCGTAGTTTCCGTTCATTAGCACGATAAAATAGTGAACGGCACCACCACTACGATGGAACGTGGTTTCGTTCTCTTCGTCGGCTCCGGTTTTCCTCTTCCTACGTTTACGGATGTTGCGTTTTCCATCCTTTTTCGACGACGTTTCAAAAGCCCGCACGGCACTAAAGGACCGAAAACCAGGCCCTCCTAAAACAACGTTCAGTTGGTCGTCGCGCAGCGAGCATTTCGTTCAAAGAAAAATTTAGAAATAAAAAAATTTGTTGATTAATAAATAAGTGGGAAATAAATTAATTTTAAAAAAATGACATTTATTTTGACAGATAATTTGAAGGTTAATTTTTTTTAAAACCTTTAAAAACCCGTTATAGTTTAAATATTTACAAAAAAAAACGGTTAAATGTGAAACGAACTGCTTTTTCTTTTTCTTCACGTGTTCTTTAATTTTATTTTCGGTGGTGAAAATCGAAAAAAAAATTAATAATTTCCATTTTGGGTTGTTTCTTATAATTTTTATATTTGTTTAGGTAAGTATTTTTCGATTTTTATCGTTTTTTGTTGCTGTTGTTAACGCAAAATCGGAAATTAATCTTTTTATCTTAATGGATGAATCAAGGTTTTTTTATAGAAGTAAGAGGGATGCTGGTTTTTAATCAATAATGTCCAACAATTCGGTTAGTAGTACTGCAAAATCGCTTTGTTCGTGAATAAAAACGACATTAAATCGCGTTAAAAATAATCTTAAAATCAATTCACGTTGTTATAATCATTATACAATCACTAATCTTTTTAAATTCGATTATTTTTAGCTCATTAGGAATTTAAATGAAGCTAAAAGAAAAATAAATTATTATATTTGTTGTTATTAATTAATTAATCAATTTCTTCCTTAAAAATTATACAAAACAATTTCGTTGACGCAATCGTAACAGAATATGGATGATGATGTCATCTAATCATGTCTTTACTGCAAATTTACTGAGTAATTTTTATGTTTAATAAAGTTTTGTGAGTTGTTTAGTTTTTTTTATATTTTCATAATAAACGTATTAAGATGTTTTAGCTGTAATTTAATGTAAAAATCATTGTCGTTCAAATTACCTTAAATTATTGAAATCGTTTTGAATTACAACAATAAACCTTGTAAAATCATTTTAAAAATAGTTGAATCCTTTATGTTTCTATTTCGTTTTTTATTGCTTCATTGTGCTATGGTTCATTTGATATCGCAAAAGAGTGGTGTGTTCCTTTGAACTTTGTGTGGTTCGCAACACTTTCTTCAAATTGTTTATAAATCCTACTTATTCGATTCGTTGCCGTTATCGTTCTAATACCGCGAACTGTTAAAGCCGATTACCAGTTAAAATAATTTAGATATTATTTCCTTTCTATAGTTTAACTTCTTTGTTTCCGTTGAGTAATTGATAAGTAAACAATATAAAAGTAAGTAAAACATCTCTTTTTAAGCTAACGTAATTTCATTCAAAAAATATCAAAGAAAAACATCCACAAGAAGAGGTTAACATAAACTTAATCAT